TGCCTCCAATTATAATGATGGCTTTTTAATTTTTACCTAAAAAGACCCGGTATATATAGGTAACTGCGGCCGACAGTCGGGCCACATTCATTTTGCTATGAATAATAGTTACAGAGCTTTAAATATCCCAGAGTTACTATACCATAAAGGACCTTTAGAATAGAATATAATAGAATACTTTATTCAACTATGTTATTTTTAATTGCATACATTTATAGCAGGTCAAAAAAAAAACAGAATAGTTACAAAATAAACAAGCATAAGATTAAAAGTTACAAACAATAATAAAATCATCTGACATACATAAATAATCCAAACAAATGAAATAATATAAAAAAATGTCTTAATTAAAAGGCATCACCACGAAAAAAACTGATGTGTTCAACACATGACTTTCCTATATAGTTATCACAGGATTTTTCCGGTTATTTTGTACAACCTATTGTAGCACCTCTGTAAATGTTTAGAGGATAAACTAAATATATACATTATCCACATATTTCTAAATCGAAACATTTTTTTTATATTTATATTCATTGCCAACAAAACTACTGAAAAATTAAAATTTTACACATTTTTTAGTTTAACAATTTTCTTAAAAGTCAGAATTTTGCACATTTTGCCAAATTTAACGATTACGGACCATTTTAGGAAAATTTTGTTTAAAGCAAAAACTATAGAGAATATTATTTTATTTGAATAATTTTCTTCTCCAAACGTAAATAACGGATATATTCCATAAAATATAAAAACGACACCCTATAAGGTACCCCCACATGTTACTTTGCCCAAAGTTTCCCTCAGGCCGGAATAAAGCTTAAGTTTAATTTTTTTTGTTTTTCTCTTTATCCGTTTTTGAGTTTTCTTCAAAATTCGAGATTTACACATTTTCTCAAATATTAAATTAATAAATATTAAATTATAGAAAATTATATCGCAAACAACTTTTGTTTAAACAATTTTCATAAAAATTTGATTTTTTTACATTTTATCAAATTTATCAAATACGGATCATTTTTAGAGACTAATATTTAAAATAACTTTTACTTAAATAATTTTAATCTCCAAACGTAAATAACAGATATATTCCATAAAATATAAAAACGACCGCTTATAAAGTTCCCCCTCCCAGATGTTCCGACTCTGCTAAAAAATCTATTTAATTCACCGCAGGCCAGAATAAAAGTTAAGTTTAAAATTTTTTTCTCTTTATTAGTTTTTAAGTTTTTTTCAAAATTCTAAATTTACATATTTTCTTAAATATCTCGAATACGGTCCATTTTACAGAAATTAGGTATAAAACAAGAATTATAGAAACTAATATAACAAGCAACTTTTATTTGAACCATTTTCATAAAAAAATATTTTTTTTACATTTTGTAAAATTTCTCGAATTTTAGGTAAATTTTCTAAAAAATAAGAATTATAGAGAATAAAACAAGAAGTTACTTTTATTTAAATAATTTTTTTCTCCAAACGTAAACATAAAATATGAAAACGATCCCCCCGATGTTCTGACTCTGCCCAAAATCTAATGTGTTCCGCTCAGGCCGAAATAAAGCTTAATTATTATCACTCTTTTCTACCAATATCACATGAATGATTTTATTTTTAAAGATTTAAATAATATTATGTACCACGGAAGTTGACAACAGGAGAAAAATGTTTATTCATTTCACAACAAAAAGTTTTCTTAATAAAACTCTTTTTTTATAAAAAATTTGCTTTTTTTAATATCAACTTGTATAATTTAATTTAATTTTTTAGAAAGTTGATATTATGTATCTAGTAAATTATAGTTTATTATATTTCATTGTATCGTGTCAATAACCATAGCTGTTGAGACACGTTAATTTTTAAATAAAAAAAAAAAGTGATTTTTTAAAAAATTGCTAAAAAGAATTAAAATAATGTGAAAAAAAGTACCGGAGTACAAGTAACATGAGTGACAAAAAATATCAAAGCAAGATTTACGTCGTTCCAGATTATAAAACAGGATAAAAATCAAATGTAAAACTAAAGAAAATACAAGAAGAAACCAATTCAATGTCTTTTTAAAGCTTTTAATGTAAGTAAAATAATGTATTCATGTCTAAATATAATATTTATTGTAAACTAGTCACAATATTTATCTTACGAAGTGTAGTTTATTTTATAATATAAAATTTTAAGTCATAGATGCTGACCAACAAAGAACAATAATTATGCATTAAATTTAACTTCCTAGAAAATTTTTTTTATTTTTCATAGAGTTTTAATGTTAGATAACGAGTTACTACTGTTATTTTTTTTTATTTTTTTTTGACCTCAATTGTGTCATTGTAAATGTTTTTCATAGGATACTAAACGTTCTTAGAACAGTGGCAGCATATATATCGTTCCTAGTGCCGATAAAGCACTTTCTAGAGATGATGCTGTTCTATACTTTTAAGGAGATATCAAATATTATGAGACTAGTTTTACTGATGGTACTGTTATCAAAATAAAAAGGGGAAAGCTGAAATTAAAAGATGAGGTTATACCATGTACATTCTCGAATCTTCCTTTATACTTGTGTTTTATTTTACTCTTAAAACTATATATTGGTTTAATTAAAAAAAAAAAAAAATTGTCAGAAAATTGTACTTATCAAATTTTGGCATTTAAGAAACCTTTTCGAATTTGGTTATACATACTTAATTTGTATTTTATATAGATAAAATTAAATAATTTATCAATTAAAACATGTAGGACTTATTTAGAAATAAATACAACAGTATGTTCTGTGCTTTATTTAGCTATAAACAAGTTTATTTTTATTATTTTGACAAAATTATGTATAATTCCCATAAGAAGCCATGTATTTTGAACACCGTATGCAGTACCAGCGCCCATGCGATTAATTATGAGTTATATATATATATATATATATAGAGGGATGCGTTGCATAAAAAGAAGAATTAAATTTTGCATGAAACGACTTGCAACAATTAGCAATTAGTTCTTGTAATCGAAGCACTTTCTTCCGCCCACACACAAGGAGGAAATTTTGCGTTTTCATCAATATATGTCTCTAACAAATAATCACAATATTTATCCAGAAGTTCATGGTGTGATTTGTATGACATCAAATCGAACACAAAGGCGTCTTCTACTTCACTTGGCTTCAAAAAAGTTAATCCTAAAGTATTTTTAAGTCAAATGCCTATTTCAGCTTTTGATTCATAATCAGAACTTAGTTCGATTGACTTAATATTTCTATACCATGCTTGATGCAAATGAAATCGGCAACCACTAATTTCAACATCAGGCCAAATATACACTAATGCTACATAGATCGCCTTTACAGAATCAACAAAAACTTGTCTTGGATTTAATATAAGACCGTACTTTTCATACATTTGACATCTTAGTAAATAAAAACAGTTTTTGTAACATTCAGTAGTCTTACTCAGTAACAGACAAAAAACTAAAGGATCATAGTGGCTATTTTGGAGTCCATGAATTGTAAAAAGTTGATGGAAAAAGTTTGTACAAAACGAAAATGTTTCGTCCATATAGATTGTATTCATTTTAGTTAAAATGCTTAGGTTCGTTTCACATGTAAGCACAATAATTGTATTTTTGATGTTAATTAACAAAAAATGTTTACCTTTATTTGTTATTAACTTTTTATTATATACTCTGAGAGCTCCATGCACTTGCACTTCTTTTATATTTTTAGGTATCCGACCTGGTAGTATCTTGTGGCGGCGGCAGTTATACATATTTCTTCTGATGTAACTGATATAAATAGTTGTGAGAGATGGTAATATGTTGATAATGCCTTACAAATTAGTTTTGAAGTCTTTTCAGTTACATCTGCTACCGACTTTCTTTTACACGCATTTAAAACATATTGCCTGTGTACCTTTTGTTAATTTTTTTTATGATGATGAACATTATATTTTCTTGTAATTAGGTTCTCTGTACCAACAGTGTAGAGTTTGGCTTTACAATGCAGTTTTTTTGGCTACATCTCCATGATGTCTCACCACTTTTTAAAACTTTGTCTTTTGAAAACGTAAAATTTTCATAAAAAATTAAATCACTCCCACGTTCACTTTTAATGACTGACACCGACATATTTCACCTGCACGCTGTCAAAAGAAAGTCCGGCACCTAATTTACATGTAAAGATTATGGACCCTTTTAAAAATACAGATAAAGGGATTATTTTTGCGCCCAGTTTACTCCCGTCCATTTCCAGACAATAATTTAGGCACGGGTGGTATTTGGTAAAAAACTTTTACAACAAAACTGCATGTATTGAAACAACTAAAATCTAATTTGCAAAGTTATCCATGCCATAAATGTAATGGATATGCTGATGCACGTGACTGAAAATGAACGATTTTAATTGGTTTCCTATTGATGCCAGACATTTTTAATGTAATTACGCTTAGGTACCCAGAATGAAAATGATTTTCAGAAATCTTCCTTGTTGTCATAGTAAAGATTAAAAATAACTTTACTTGATTGTTTAGAGAATGTTGCTGTGACATTTTTAATTTAGTAATTAACTTTCAGATATCTATAAATTCAAGTAAACCACAATGAATATTTTTTGTTTTTCGTCAAAATCACCACAGTGGTTAAAATGCCCATACAACGGTATTTGTTTTCTTTTTTATTGTAGTATCATATATTGAGATTATAAATTTTGCTTTGTTTACAACGGAAATGTCTATTAGCTAACAAATGCCAATCTGTGGAAGTGGCAAAAGTACCAAGCCAGAACTTCTAAATTTCACAGAAAACTCCAATTATGATATTTTTCGATGTCTCGTTATTTTATGGATAGTAGACTACTAAGTAAAACGTATGTGTTTTATAATATACTGTATATTTATGATGCATAAATATAAATGCATTGACCAAAATATATATTTATTATACTTATTAAGGGTCTTTTGACACCTTATTTGTTTTGTACGAGTAAATATAAATATATATTTGACTAATTTTTTTATTGTTTCTAGTGACGGATGCGCTGCGCCTTCAATCGCTAAGCATTGTTCCCTGCTGCCCTAATTGCTGCTCCCTAAGCATTAATCGGCACTGCCCTTCGCCTTCCCACCCGCCGTTATCTTCTGCATCAGAAGCCGAAACGACAAGAACATCAACATCGAGAACAAGAACATCATCGTCCAGGAGGAGGAGAAAGAGAAAACGAAGAAGAAGAAGAAGATCGACAAGAAGAAAGAACGTGCCCTATTTAAGAAGCATCGCCTATCGCGAGTGCATGTGCGCAGTGATCCGTACACTTTTTGAACTGTTACATCAAATTCCTAGAACCTTTACTCGGTACTTTTGTACAACCATTACGATTGTTTTTGGGTGAGATATCCTGCCAAAAAATATTACATAATTACATAATAAATACCTATAGATAATAAATAATTTTTAATGATAACGATTGAGTAACAACACCATTGGCTGTCGGCGGGTATTTTGCCGGATGTAGAAAAATATCTCTGAATACAGTTTATCGAATGCGACTCATCACACTGAAAACTACTAAAATATTTATGATACAAACAACTCTTGATTTGTGCCTTACGAAATTACAGTAAGATTTAATTTCTCATTCATTATCATATTTGAATATCTAGTTCAAATACATATCCTTTCTTATTGAATATACCAGACGCTGTTAGCTCGATGTAATTTAACAATTTTGCTTGACTCTTCTCTAGTATCTCTTAACTTCCGATTCTCAAACCATCTATACCTCTTAGTAACGAATCATGATCTGTTCTTAGTGCTTAAACTCTAAAGATTTTTAATTTAGTTACGATTACATTTCCAAACCAGCAAATACCTCATCTGTATCAATTCCAATTTTCACATAATTTCCATTTGGTTATTCTTGGCTAATTTTAATTTAAGAGAAAAATATTTTAATCCTATACGTTTGTCTATTTATGTACAAGGTGACTCTGAAACAAGAGTGGTTCTCATAATAATATAAAACTAAAATGAAATCAGAATTAGCGGTGCACAGCATTAATGGGTATTGGTAAAATTTAAGAAACTAAAAATGAGTACAATAGTTCGTTTATATGTAATCTGAGATTGTGGTGCTATTCCAAAAAATTATATTAGCTGGTGAGTTTAATAGTACGACATTTAGATTTATTACTCAAATGAAGTTGTTGCCCAAAACAGTTTTGGATACCAATTTTATATCAATAAAATTTTGTACCAACCTACAAACCATTAAAAACATTATAAGCAAGTTCAACATTTCCCTCTTCTAAAGGAACTATGGTATTATCTGTGTTAATAGGCACCAAAAAAAATAATTTCGAAAAACCTTATTGAGCTCGTTCTAGTAATTCTAATTATCAGAAACTACAATCATATATGTTAATGATTTAAATGGATACAGGTGTTAATCTTAGCATGTAGTCAATGAAGTCCTGAGGAATTAAAGGTGACTCCTGAACAACTGTTTTTATTAATTACAGAAAAAATGTTTTTATTCATAGAAAAAGTAACTTTTGGTTTGTGAAAACCACGTTTGCAAAATTACAATAATATTTAACGTAGAAATAATATTATTCTATAGCTTTCTTAGAACATCAGTTTCAAACTGCGAAAATGTCTAGGTCATCAGTATATAGATATGCTAAAACATCATTTATGTCATTAACATTGACACCTGGAATGCCATTGCTGATATTGTTGAGAATTTAACACATAATATATCAAAATCCTATGATAATTTACCTCTAATTACTGAATTCAATTTAATAATCTTATGAGAACTATATCCAGTAAAACTTTGTGCATTTCGGTATCACCTTTTACCTATCTTGAAACTATTAAGTCATTTTAAAATGGGTGATTTGTACTGATACATATACACTAATTTGTACAATTTTGTATATCTATGGTAAATAATAATTGTGTATAGGTAGACGTATAAAATTTTAATAAACTGTACTTAGACCTAATTATCTACATCAGGCTCTCCCGCTAGATAGCGCCGCGATGAAAGCTGTGTAGTGCTCACACCGAACTTTTCATTAGTTACCGGCACTGTTTTAAGTGCTTGTATTTTTGGGCTGTGTGAAGCTTCATACCTAGGGTTGGATTAGCTTTAGCCCTTGTTACATATCCACCCGCGTAGACGAATCGGTCGTACGAGTGCTTCGTAGAGCGCCATCTCTGCCATCTCAAACGTCTGTATTAATTATGAAGTTCAAAATGGGTATATTTTTTATAGTTTTTAAAGATAAGTAAAGCTTATACAAAGTTAAAAATTTGTAGATTCATCTAAAAGTTTTACTTAATATATTTTAACAAGGTTGGTATTTATAGAGGTTGTATAATTATTTGGAACGATACAAAGCTCAGATGTCAATAAAACTATAGCTCAAAGCTCATTACTAATTACAGAATACGCAGAAATTCTAACTTTGATAGCCTTAGACAAAAAAAGTTTATATAAAGCATTGTGGTCAGAAAGATGAAGAAAAATCAAAAATTTTGGAAAAATTAATTTTTAAAAACATAATAAGACCAAAAAAAAAGGGGTAAGACGAAATCATAAGATAAGAAACTCCATGAACGCTAATGAAGATAATGTAAAACACATTTAAGCACAAAAAGTGAGATGGTTTGAATTGATTGAAAGAAAAATTACCACCTGGAGACCAATAATAAATTGACAAAGATGAAGTCCTAAAATCAAGTATATAAAGATTAAAGAACACAAGGAACTATAAATTAAAGAAAAAAGTAAGGGAAAGAAATTAATGTAAACAATAATAGATCGAATGATACGATACAACAATTTTTGATGAAGGGATGATAACTTGGATGATAACATAAAAAAGGAAGATGCAGCATGATCCACCGCAAATAAGGAACGCAAAGACTCACGATAAAGCGGATAATACTCCACTCAGGAGTGTAAGGTCTATATAATATTAAACTGAAGCCGAAACGGATCACCAGTTAGTAATAACAAAACAATCAAAGAACATGGACACGCCAGAATATGACAAAACCAAAACAAATGCAAAAAGGACGAATATAAACTTCATAAGCTCGAGAAGTACAGAAATAAAATACGAAGCGATCTGCATAAAAAACTCAAATACGATTACAACCGCAGGAGATGAAGACAACAAAAAAGAAATTAATGGAATGGTACAATCAATATTGTTAATGAGCGAGAAAATAAAAGAATAAAGTAAGAATTAAATGTTTAAACTCAAAGAAGAACAGAACAAAACCGATTGCAAAACAAAGAGACGTAAGGCAAACATAATATAGAGAGAGAGAGAGAAAAAAAGATAAGTACATAAATAGTGAACTAGAGGAAATAGAACTAGACCGTAATAATAACAAAATAAAACATTCTACAAGGAAATTAAGAACCAAATAAGAAAACCAAGAAATAGGACAAAAACACCAAAAAAACGATGAAGACCAAACATAATACGAGCCCCAAAACATTGTAAATGCTTGGGAAATATTATATTAACGAAAAGGTTAATACAGACAATGAAGAACCAGAACAACTAGAGGAAGATAAAACGACACCCAAACAATAAGAAGAATATCCTTTAGAAAGAAAAATGCTACAAACAATTAAAAACCTGAGGAACGGCAAATTTTCAGGAAAAGACGGAATAGAATCAGAACTTCTAGATAATAGGGACCAGCACCTACACAAGCAAATATGCATACCAATAAATCAAATATGGAGACAAACCAATATGCAGAAGAGTTGAATATATTAAAGAAACATTTTCGAAAAATATAAATAACGCTGCTGAATGTCATTTGTAAAAGCCTAGCAAATATTATTAATAAAATACTAAAAAAATAGCCAAAAAAATGGTAAAAGATTTAGGCCAGACAGATCCTATAACAAATTTGCCAGAAGACTGTAAAATACAATGGAAAATTCCTTTCTTTTTTTGTGGATTTTGAAAGTGCATTTGATTAAGTAAATAGAAAAAATATAGAGGTGTTTAAAAATACTAAAATTTCCCAAAAAACAGCAGAAGCAAAACAAAAATACGAATTCAGGATATAACTATTTTATGTAAAAGAGGAGTGAAACAGGATGACTCTAATCTTCCCACCGTGTTTAAAATTGTATTAGAAAACGTCATTAGAAAAACAGAAAAACCTAATTACAGGATACATTTAAATAATTGTTTATGCAGGTGACCTAACAATAGTGGCAAACTCAAGACAAAAACTGATAAAAGCAATGGAAAGGATAAATGAAAAGTCTAGACATTTTGAAATGGAAATAAACCAAACCTAAACAAAATATATGAAAGTAGAAAGAGAAGAAAGTAGTAAAAATAATACTTAAAAACAAAGATACATAAATTGGAAACAGTCACCTTTTGCAACTATCTATGAAAACCAGGATGGAAAGAGGAAACTAGTAAAAGAAAGTAACCTTAAAGAAAACTACGGCAAACACAAAAATGTTCTAAATGATTAAATAATCATAACAAAATATAATAATAAGACATCACAAAAATTAATATATGATAAAGGTATACACAAAACAACTACATATGCTCCCGAAACAGCATCACCAAATAAAAAAAAAGAAGACCTAATAAGAGTTATAATAAAGTATGTTCTACACTTCATATGCTAGCGATAGAAGAACACCAATAATTTTATTACATACATAAACTTACAGCGTCTAAAGTGGCAGGACATGTCATGAGGAGTAACCTGACATACCTGTTAAATAATATAATAATAAAATGGATCCCATTGCGGTTAATCAGAAGGGAAATATATTAAAGAGATGACCCAGGGATACAGATGATGACACAAGAATATTAGGATCAACAGATTGGAAATGAAAATGGAAAAATATAAAGGAGTGGAGGAAACTAGTAAAGCAATAACCAACAAAAATTTGTTATACTCTTAAGGAGAAGAGGAGTAATACACCTCAACAAATACCTCAAAGTTTGAAGGACACTGGGTGATAATAATAATCAATCTATGGTTCTGAGGAAACTATAAATAAAAGAACAAGGGCATTGATATTTTTATATTAGTTGTCATATAATTCTTATGTGATTTTGATAAACTCTTGCATCTAATCTTAAACAAGATAATTGTGATAAATTATAAACTACAAGAAATGCATTTATCCTTTAAATCAGTTTTTTAACTTATCTTAACCTATTTTTTTTTAAGTTATAAATAATAAGTTACCATGCATTAAGCTGCGTTCGTATCATTCGGAGCTACAAAAAAAACAAAAATAAAGGAAGCAGTACACAACTAGTTTAAAATGAATTTAACTGCTTTAGATATTATACATATCTACTTTATTACCTTGGACCATTTTGTTATTAATAGATATAAATCTTTGATATCCATTTGAATAACAGTTTGGTTTCCGTTAACAAAACTTGGTAAAAAGAATTTCGTTGATAATGATTTAAATAATTAAATTAATAATAATTTTCACGTAACCTTGATCTTGAAAGAACGAAATTTATTGATATAATAATATAATATAGACTTTAACCTTGACCAAGACATAGTAACTTTAGGATTCGCTAGCTTATAATAAAAGTAATTATTATTTTGAAATTATTTATAATAATTTTATTGAAATTTTTAGGAATTAATTGGTTGATATCGCAACTACCTAATCTACAAAGTTTTAACTTTTTTTTAAACTTAAAATTTTCTTCGACGAATTCAATAAATACTTTTAATTAAAAACATTTTAAGAGGTGCTGAATTTTATTCTAAACGAAGATATTCAGCATATCTACTATTAATAATAACAATACTAAAGATATAAGTAACTTACTTCAATTAAAGTAATCCATTAACATTTCTTTCTACAAAAACAAAAATTTAGTGACGACAATGACTATTCTTATTGTTATAAAGCTAAAAAATAGCTCGAGTTTTAATTTGAAACTAGAAATTTTGTCAGATAATCTTAACATTTATACGAAATTTAGGAAAGGGCATATTAAGTAGGTAATACTAATAACAATGAATTATTAAATATTGAATAATGGTTGAAATTTGATTGTATAATCAGTTATAGAGGCTTTCATCAAAATTTGGATACTTAAATATTTATTAGCTAGCAAAACGATAATATTTGGATTTGTGCGTAAATCAATTACCGATGGATATTATAATAATTAATATAATCGCACGTTGCATCTCCGAATAATATGAACGTCACTAAAGACTTCCGGAATTTTTATTTCTTTATAAAAATTAATAGATATTAAAAAGATTTAAGCAACAACTATCTTTAATAGAAGTAACTTGAGGTAATTGAATTTTAATGTATTTAATAACATGTTTTAATATTATTTATTTCTTTATAGAAACTTTAAGAATCACATTATTTAACATTTAACCATAATTATTTATTGTTGCGACACCATTAACAAACATATCACGAGCATTTTAGTGATATTATTAAAATCAAATAAAAAAGTTATTAAACTATTTTTAGGACACCTTACATCAAATACCTTTAGTCCGGTCAAATTAGACCAAAAAATTGGAGTGAGGGTACAAAAATTCTCACCTAGCTGAAAATTGGTAGGAGTGTTCAAAACATCATTATAAATGAAACCTAAAAAGTCCTTATCAATCCGGCACCTGAAAAAAAATTTACTCGTGGTCAAAAGTCACAAAAAACGGGATTTTCACGATTTTCAGCAAAACGGTAAGTTTTATCACAAAATTAGTTTAGACAAAAATTGTAGAGCATATAATTATCTATAAAAAATGTTAAAGATTTTTTTCCTAAGAGCTACCGTTTCTGAGATATAACGATTCAAAAAGTTATAAAAGTAATATTCGTAATATGTATAAGTACAACACGTATGCCAGTGTAACCTTGAGCAACATCTGTTTCCTATTCAATTTTCTGCATGACAAGCGTCGTATACCTGAAGCTGTAATAGAAGTAAAAATATTATTCTATCGGTCAGTGTAACTTATACATACATAAAATATTATAAATATGAGAATTTTACGTAAAAATAAACCCAGTCCCTCATTTTATACGCCAGTGTAACCTTGAGCAACATCTGTTTCCTATTCAATTTTCTGCATGACAAGCGTCGTATACCTGCTTTATGTTAGAATACCCAATACATGCATTACTATTAGTCTTGAGCGCTACTCCGGGTGAAAACCAATGAACTGGAGTGGGGTAGAATGCTTGTCAATAGGCTTGAGATGCGACTCTATGGGCAAAGACAGGTTATTTTCCATCTCACTCGGGAGTATTTATAACAACCATTTTCTATTTCACTTTGTTATTGTCTGATCCACCAACTTGTGGATTGAACAATAACAATGTGAAACAGAAAATGGATATTATAAATACTCCCGAGTGAGATGAGAAATAAAAATGGCTGCGCACATAGAGTCGCATCTTATTCTATTGATACAATATGCACATTGGCTTTCTACCCCACTCCAGTTCATTGGTGAAAACAAGTGTTTATTCTAACCTATATATTTTAACCTATTTTGTGCTCTTTTAAATTTTATAACAAAAATGTCAGAGTATTATTATTATATTCATTTGTTCTAAACTTTTAACTGAAGGTGAAATTGTTACTGTAGAACGTGGTATGAACACATTAATCAATGCAAGTACTGAAAGAGCTGATGAATTTACAGAATATCTTAAAGAGCAGAAATCTGTGACCATACATGTGGAATGTCGTAAAAATTATACTCGAAAGTGTTCTATTGCAGGTATTAAAAGACAACATGAGGAACAAGAAGCCAAAATACATTTATTGTAGGTCTTCCTCGTACTAGAGCACGTGTAAATGAATCAGCTTCTTGTTTTAAAAAACAATGCTTATTTTGCAGTTAGGAACTGAATGAAAAGCATGAGAAAAGAAAATCCTTGGATTCTCGCCGTAAAATTAAACAAATTAGTACAATTACATTTAAAGATTTGATTCTGGAAACAGCTCGGACTCGTTTTGATGCTATGGCAAAAGCTGTTTTTTGCCCGACTCGAATTCGAAAACGATTTAGTTGCTGCTGAGGCTAATTATTATCATGATTGCTTTAATTCCTTCTGGAAACTGCCCACTTGGGTAAAAGTCGGTCGTTCTCAAGATGAAACTACGAATCTGCCAATGGAGGAAATATTCGCTTACATCGAAAATTGCGATGAGCGTCAGTTCACTTTGAACGAATTAGGAAATGTTTGCAAAACTAGAACTATAGATAACCGGACGCTAAAGGTACTATTGAAACTAAGGTATGGTTATAAAATTATTATCTATAAAAAATCGGGAACATCAACATTCATATGCTTAGTAGACAATCATCATGATATTTTGAATCAAGCTTGGTATGAAAAGAAAAAATTGAATAAAAAAGAACGACTCAAAATCTTTGAAGCTGCTGCAGCAATCATCCGCGAAGATATTCAATCCACAGTGTTAGATAATTCTAACTACCCTCTACCAGGTCGCATCTTTGAAGATTTAAACAACGAAATCCCAAAGTCGCTGACACATTTTTGAAAGAAGTAATTTTATAAAAATAAAAGATGAAATTTAGATCATTTAAAATTAATATGCACAAATATTAGCCGTGGTAATGACTGCTGTTCGGCCGAGATTTTTTAAGTCTTAATTACAATTACATCTGTCAGCTTTTTTCATCGACGGTTTGGGTCTAAACGTCTTATAAAATTTTTTTTATCTTTTAGTTTGTGTGCATCTTATAATGATACAATAATGTACGAGACAGCATCAGTTTTTCATCGTCTTCCTCATGTCCTACCACCTCAAAGTGGCACACTTATTCAATACGTTACAGACAATGCTGATATTAATGTAAATACACTAGACGGTATTAACATGCTCCACACAATGGGTATTACTCAAATTGTCTATCAAAATGACGGTGTTGTAGGTTACAGTAAAATAAATGTTCAAGATTTTGCTTATGGGACTGAAACTGTATCTTTCCTCAAAAAAGTTGATATAGTATGGTTTTATGGGAAATGGAAAAATACGTCGTTACATGGTTGGAATGGCTTTATTGAACGTTTAACAAGCAATCATATGAATTATTCTAAATTTCAAATTTCATTTTTACCTTTTATTCATCAACCAGCAAGTAACTATAATACCATTTACACGACTGTACTTTGTGCATTAAAGAATGCAAAACTGTATGGCAACACTGTATGTATTGTGACTTTTGATCAACCTCTTATGCAAAAGCTCGAGAAATTGTATCAGCCGCACCTGACAGCTCTAAAATATCGAAAATTATCATAAGACTCAGAGGATTTCATCTTTTAATGTTTTTTCTTGGAGCAATTGGGCATATTATGCAAGGGAGCGGCATGAAAGAAGTACTCGCAGATATTTACGCACTGAAATCATTAGAAAAAATGCTCAACGGTCATGCTTACGCAAGAGCTGTTCGAGCTCATACACTACTTTAGCTTGCTTTGACAATTATAATATTAAAAGAAGCTGATATTAATGACATTATGGATGCAGATCTCATTGTTAATATTGAAAACATATTAGATAACACTTTTTTATATAATGACACTCAAATGAGGATGAAGTATCAGGAGTATTACATGATAAATTTAAAGATTACGAAGAACGAGGACCTACTGTGAAGCTTTGGATACAATATTTTTATACGGTTTCAATTTCAAAAGAGATTTTAAGAGCTGAGCGTATGGGGGATTTTAAAGCTCATTTAAACTGCGTTCAAGAAATGCTTCCTTATTTTCACGCGTCTGGACATTTTCCGTGTGCTAAGTCTGCACACCTTTACTTACAAGACATGCTACAAAAACACAACTTGATAGATCCTGAAAGTTTACGAAAAATTTACAGAAGGATTTTTCACTGTTAGATGTTCAGATAAATTAAGCTGTGGAATTTCAACAGATATGGTGATAGAACAGTCAATGATGAAAGCTATGAAGACGGATGGAGGTATTGCTCGAGGGAGTACAAAAGAGAGTGTCATAAGTAAATCGGTTTCAAATTAAAAAGAGTCACAACAGATCCATGGAATCCACGTTAAAAAACGCGCTACGTACACTACCTCAAAGGTGGCGTGGAAATGTATGCAAAATACGACGATTACAACTCTTCTAACTTTTTGAATCGTTATATCTCAGAAACGGTGTCTCTTAGAAAAAAATCTTGGACATTTTTATAGATAATTATCTGCTCTACAATTTTTGTCTGAACTAATTTTGTGATAAAACTTACCGTTTTGCTGAAAATCGCGAAAACCCGGTTTTGTGACCTTTGACCCCGAGTAAATTTTTTTCCAGGTGCCGGATTGATGAGGACTTTTTAGGTTTCATTTATAATGGTGTTTTGAACAATCCTACCAATTTTCAGCTTAGTGGGAATTTGTGTACCCTCGGATGTCTAAATTGACCGGACTACTTGTTAAAAGTTTAATTTTAGAGGACCGAATTTTTTTATAGCAATTCAATAAAAGAGATGGTTTTTGGTCTTCAAACGATTTTTTTTTGGTATGTTATTAGGCCTAAATGGACATTTTTATATAGATGTAGAGGTTGTCTCAGAAAAACGAGCACAAAGTTCTAATGGAAATTCGAATTTATTTGAAAAAAATTTAGTTAAATCTAAAGCAATTCATTTAATTAATGTAATTAAAAAGGCATAGAGTTTATTTATTTATAGAAGCTGTATCAAAAATTGTTTTTAAGTACCTACGAATATATTATATATTTTAAAAATATAAGGACAGAAACAACTAGCAGTAGAAAAAAAAATATACAGTGAACAAATTTAATCCCTCTTTACACGATGTTCAGTAATTTCCCAGTTCCTATTTCGTGCCTCTAGGGCAATATGAACCTAATTTTATTATACAACTTTTCGGGGTAACAATTAAACACGTTTTAATACGTTGTAACTAAATTTAAAACTTCCATTGTTAGCAAAATAATCGTCCAATGGTCGGAGGGGTAAAAAGTGGGGGTGTGAAACTAAAAAGTGGAAAAGTGAATCTCTAAGCAAAAAATCTGTATGAAGCTGAAGAAAACGATTAAAGTACGTGTAGATAATAAAAAAATAATAAATAAATGAACCTTTTTTATCTCTATCACAGCAATAATAAAGTTTAATGAAATGCTGTAGATTTTTTAAAACTAAAAATTTTTTCAAAAAAAATCAAATTTCAATAATTTTGGATCTACATTGTTGGGGCATCCTGTAAAATTAAATATACCCGTTTACCTTTCCAATAGTAATAATAAAATTAAATTAAATTCTGTAGATTTTCTTATAATTGAAACTTTTTCGAAACAATCAATTTCTCTTATGATTTTGTATTAACTTTTTTAGGACATCCTGTACACAATAATTGTCCATTTAATAAATTATTAATAACATACCAAAAATTTAGAAAAATCATCCAGAAATCCATATTAACTGTGCCATACCCTCTATAACCAAAAATCATAAGTAATCGCTCAAATCTAAAATAATCACCAAGGTATCTTTTATTGACAAACATGCAACTGTTTACGAAACAAAATTGTATAGGTATGGTATATACCTACTTTAATACTCCGATTACACGTGGCAACACTGGTGTCTCGTCGCTAAACACTCGAGCAGATATAAATCAATAATTTCTACCCCAAAGCGAATGTCTACACTAAAAAAACAGTTCAACAACAATTTAAGAACTGAAATGAGAATATACCTATAAATGTAATCTGTAATAGATTTTTTATTGCCTTTATTGAAATTTTATAATCTCAAAAATAAATGTATATAATCCGAGATGTAAATGCGTTAGATTATTTGTGGGTGGCAAGATATTAAAGCCATAAACTTCAATTTAATTTAATAGTAAAGGAAATACCTGTAGAATGGCTAAAATTTTATGGAACAGTTACACTTCGAAGATACAATGTCAATTAAAAATCAATTTGCTGCTTTTGTTTTCATTTATTACTGTGTCTTTATTATCTAAATTGGCGAAACGTGTAGTAGAGACTTTTATTTTATCTAAAATCACTCTTTAAAACAAATTTTAGTACGGGAATCATACTTTATACTAGAGTGTGCAAATAACTAGGTAATAGTCATTATAACATTTAAAAATAAAATAAAAACAATATTATTTACTTTTTATTATGTTGTTATGTTAGATGTGGCATTAAACTGCTACCTAAAGAACTACTGTGCCCCCGTTTGTCGCTAATTCAACAAAATAATAGTCACCAGTCCTATCTTCTTAAGGTAGTGTTAGGTAGATCGCCCTCTTTTATTTGGAATGCTCCTAAATCTAGTGACCTTAGATTCTGGAGTGCTACACATTCTAAAGTTTAATGGAGGTTTTGTCCTCTCCTTTACAGAATCTGCAGTCACTATATTCTACTATTTTTAATTTATTTAGTTTTCCTTTAAGTCGGCAATGCCCTATAAGGATCCCTGAGAGCTATATTTTTAGCGATCTTTTGTGGTTATAGTCACCCAAAAGTAATTAGCCTCGCTACCCACAGTTATAGATTCTTTTGATTTTTTATTTATTTATTAATTAATACATCCAACAGGCTTTATCAGCCCAATTACAGGAGTTTGAGAATACTTACTTAACTAAATTACATTCTAATTACCTAATTTAATACCAATCTGTATCATTGCTCTCTAAATTGGTAAAATTTTAGAAAAAATACAGAATACTGATTGACACTTCTACACATTGTAGTTAAAGGACTGTGAAAGTGATGTTGTGAATTTGGCACTTGAATATGTAATGTTATATTTGACCTTGACGTAATACGTGGGATATTAAAAATTAAATTGAGACAGCAGAGAAGATGAATCTATAGAATTATTAATTAATTTATAGATGAATATCAAATCTACTATTTCTCTTCTTCTTCTCAGACTCACAAAACTGAATTCTTCTAACAATAAATTATAGTCATAGTGACGAATAGGATAACGGCCATGTTTTTTTAAAGTATTCCAAACACAACTGCAATACTCCAGTTTGCTACGAACTAGTGAAAAATAAACAGAGAAGATGGCTTTTAAAGATTTAAACTTTTTACAGTTTCTAATAACAAAACCCAAGATTTTTGTTGCACTTTGTACAGTGTTTTCAATGTGTTCCGAAAAAGTCAGTTTGTTGTCAAATAAGATACCTACCTAAATTTCTGTAATTATATATCCGGGGAATAACAAGATTATCTAATTGATAATCATATAAGACAGTGTTTACTTTCCTGGAGAAGGACAGGACTTTGCATTTGTTAGTATTCAAAGATAGTTTATTTACGATACACTAGTTATGACAAGGTCGTTTTGAAGAGCAATGCAATATGAGGTATCATTTATTTTCCTATAAATTTTCATATCGTCTGCAAAAGTTTCTTAGAGTTGATACAATGACAGATGTCAATAATAAAAATAACCAATAATAATGGGCCCAAATTCGAGCTCTGACTAACCCCTGACTAACCCCTGACGTTGACACGAAATTAAAAGATTTTGCACTATCGTATTTAACATATAACTGTTGATCAGTTAAAAAAGACTTTAACAGTGATTGCATAATCTTTGAAACACCAAATTGTTTCAGAAGTAATTGTTTGTGAGACACCTTATCAAACGCTTTACTAAAATCTGTGTATGCGACGTCAACTTGATTTATACAGTCTAAAGAACTAGATATCTATTACGTAAATGTACACAGATTTGAAGCGGTACTTCTGAGCTTCACAAAACCATGTTGGTATTCCGTGATTGAATTTTTTACGTGGGAATATAATATATTAGAAAATATGATTTCAAAAATTTTGGATAAACAGATTAATGTGATTGTTCTGTAATTTGATATATCAGAAACTTTACCAGCTTTGAAAACGGGACAGATTCTAGATATTTTCCAAATGTCTCGATAGGCCTCTTCTTGTAGTATACTATTAAATATGTAAAAGAGTGGAACTGACAAAAACCCTATATAATTTTTTACCAGTTTGGATAAAACATTATCAGGACCACAGGTTAACTTATTCTTTAATTTATTAACTGTGTTGATAATTTGATCTTGAGATATATAACTAATATTGAGGAAATTACTAGGATTTGTACCAACATCATCAAGTATCTCAGCATCAGATCCATTACTAAACAATTCATCAAAAAACTACTTTATTTCATCAAGTTAGTGATAAGTTTCTCATTTGTTTAAATTTTCCTGTCATTAATTCACAATTGGTGTATTTAATTTGATAGTTCGATTTACTTACATGTCTTGTGTAAATTTTAATTTAAAGGGTCATTGAATAGAAATTTTAATTTAAATTCCATATTGGGATATTAAGATTTTGATTTTGATAACCCGCCTGAGATCGCATAAATAGCTCAAAAGGCTACAAAAGCATTTATATGAAAGCATATTATAAAGGTTTTCTAGATTGAGGTGAAAATAAAAAGTCAACAGCTATTCAGAATAATAGTAGTGTGATGGCGATATCACATGAACACGATCCAGTAGAGTTCACAGTATATTTTTTCTACAACGAAAATTTGAAAAAATTATTTGAAATTTTATAGATAATATCTGAAAATAAAAATTGCCTTAGCTGGGATTTAAATCTCGAACCATAGAATGGGGAACGCTTCACTAAAACTTTTAAGTTTTAATAAAATTTGCTATTTCTATGTAAATATAAACGAATATCTTGTGCATTTCCATTATTTATGGATTATCTACAAGAATCACCTATTTTAAAATTTATTTAAATTCGGTAACTTAAAAATATACAGAAAATTGGTTTGAGAGAATTGTCAATTTTTTAGAATTTCAAAATTTAATGACCTATCAATAAATATGAACTGCAATGGCTGGATTTTATATCCAGTGTCCTTACTAGAATATTTATGAAATTATACCCGTTAGTAGAATATGAATATAATAAATAATTGCATGGGTGTAAAATAACTACTCTTATTACATATTTTTCTAAAAAATCCAATTCATATAAACAATCGATTGTTTTTTTGTAAATTTATTCACTGTTAAAAACCATCTTTAGCTTAAATAATAATATCAGTATATATGCAAAACTTTTACAGTTTTAAAAAAGGCAGTCAGTAAAGCATAAACTAAAAATTTAAAAGCACATTAAAAAAAATTTGATTTTTAGATTTAATTATAATTTAGCATGGCAATAAAACAAATCTGTATTCGTAGATTAAATATTGTTTCATATCCTCATAAATAACTGTTTTATTTGAATGATACAAAAATTATGTTTTTTCAAATGAAATAAATGAACAGAGAACTTTATTTTGCGAATCTTATTTGTGAATCCATGCGTTTTTGTGATTGGTACTGAAACCTAAGACTAAAAAGAGTTTCTTAATTTTACATAACTTACCAAAAATATGTAAGTCTACATAAACTCACAGTTTGCAATCAACATCTGATGTATATGCAGGATTTTTGAACTTGAATTAACCTTCTAACACTGACACTGCAAGTGAAAATGAAAAAATCACCCACTTATCATGAACATTTTTGTTTCTTTACTGGCAAATTATTAGAATCTTAACTTTGTCGTTATCAGATCTGACCTAATTAGTTGCGTTTTTCCTGCTTCGTTTAATACTTTGTTTCCTGATTGGTTTCCTGCGTTGATTATTTTTTGGTTAAAAGGTATAACATTTGCATATTCAGCGATTTTTTTAAGAAAAGGTGATAAACTTTTTGTATTGATTTGGATTATCAATAAAATATAAGATTCAAATCAAAGTAAATCTAATTTATTAAAAGTTTTCTTATTATTTTATTATAGATGGGGCTACATTATATTTTTTTATAAATTTTAAATGCCTGTCAATCATAATGTTTATACTTAAATCAATTTATTTGTGAATACGCCACAAAACCAACCACAGGAGACGGTCCTGCATTATACCCGATCACTTCCACAAAGTTATTATTGTTTCTAATTTCCTTTTATTTTCATTATTATTGTTTTAAAAGTATTGGCATTTCTTTGTACTAAAATTAAACTAAGCATTTTAAATTTGTTTTTAATGAAAAGCTTCCTGACATTAAAAATATGTCAGCCACACGTATTTTTCGTACAATAATTTCATTAGCAAGCACTAACTTTATATGTGCCCAAAATTAGAATTGTAAAAAGGGTTGAAATTATCATATTTAAATGGGTAAAAAAATTTTACATAATTATTAAGTTGACATCATGTTTTTTATTCAAAATCACTAAAAAGTTTTGTCAAAAAAAGATGTATATGGCGCACCCTGTAACAAAATGTAAAATAATAGATAAAATAATATTCACTGTCTAAAGCTATGTAGGTATGCGTCTTTGCCAATTTTGATAATAATTTATAAATACGTTGTAAAATTATTACCAAAAATCGAAAAAAATATTTTAACTTTAACATCCTGTATCTTTTTTGAGAGCAATATTTTACGAGGGCATGTTTACGCTTACTGTATATCTCAGTAGTTAATCATCCTGTATATTATCTATAGCTGTCAATAAATAAATAAATTGGTCGTGTTGTGTGGTGAAAAAAACATTTATACAGGGTGTTTCAAAAAGATTGGTCATAAATTATATCACGTATTCTTGGGTCAAGAATAGGTCGATTAAACCGTACTTACCTATATACAAAAGTGCACCAAAAAATAGTTACAGGGTGTATAAGATAAAAATTTAAATGAATTTTTTTAACGTTGCTCTTAAACCGTTTGACATTTTTTTATGAAATTTTATATGACGTGTTGGAATACCATGACTAACAAAATCGAGGTAAAGGTAATATATTTTTTTTTTGTTTTTGTAGGATTTTGGAGGGTGTCACCGCCCCTTTTTCTACTCAATTTTTTTGTAATATGAAATTTTATTAAAAATCGAACGCTACTGAAACTTTTTTGTCTCTTAGTATTTGTTTGTAAAATGTTGGGTTTAGACGAACACTTAAGGAGGTCCTTTCGCCACCCCTTTCGCCACCAATGTTAAATAAAAAATATTAGATTATGAATAAAATGAATTTTTTTTTCTAACAGTTGAAGTCCTTATTTATCTAATGTTGAACTTTTAACTATACCTTACCGTGCAAATTTTTAAGAATTTTTTTTTTTAAATGTGAGTATTTGTACAGTGTCTTACGAGAAAATAAGACCTCAACAACAATTCTCGAATTATATTATTATTTGCAGTAGAAAAAACCTAAAAATAGGGTTTTTGAAATATTTAGGTTTTGTTTTTTATAATAAAATATATAGGTTATCTTGGAATTTATTGAGAAATTAATATTAAAAAAAAAATTTAAGTAACCTAGTTGAAAATTTTTTGTGATTAAATTATATACTACAAAAAAGTTGAGTGGAGAAAAGAGCGGTGACCCCCGCCAAAAACCTATAAAAATCAAGAAAAAAATATTGGCCCTTCCTCGGTATTATTAGTCATGGTATTCTAACACGTCATATAAAATTTCATGAAAAAATGGCAAACGGTTTGAGAGCAACGTTAAAAAAATTAATTTAAATTTTTATATTATATACCCTGTAACTATTTTTGGATGCCCTTTTGTATATAGGTAAGTACGGTTTAATCGACCTATTTTTGACCCAAGAATATGTGGTATAATTTATGATCAATCTTTTTGAAACACCTTGTATATTTCTATATTTATTAATACGTCACTAAATCCAACAGGAGCCGATTGTCAACGAATTTCTCCAATAAGTGATGAGGCAGCTATGTTATCCTTATTGTAGTTGGATCCTAACTATAACCAATACTCTTAAATTTTAATCAATTTGGGAGTGGGTGGCTCAGTGGTAGTCACAACTTGCGAATTCATGTGATCAATTTGATATCAAAGGCAAATTTGGCTATTACGCTAATGTGCCCTATGCTTAACAAGAACAGCAAGTTGTCCAAGGACAACAAGCTGTTGTTATATAAGCAGGTGATTAGACCAACGCTGAGCCATGGATATCAAGCCTTCTCTTTGAAGCTACAACGCAAGCCAAATACGTGTCTGAGGCTAGCCTTGAGCAGAGATAGTCTCAAATAGCGGACCTTCATGCTGAAGCCCATGTTCCTATGTTACAAGATTATATAATCAAGAACTCCGATAGATTTTATAAAAAGAAGCTGACGCCACCACTCTTTAGGGACGTAACGCAGTTGCATACACGAGATAATCCCAACATGAAACATGGCCTCTTGCATGAAAGGTGACCTCTATTCAGAGAGTAGCCTAGGATCTGAATGATCTGATTAGTTTTGTTTTAGACCCTGTTTTTTCGATTGGTTTTTCAGGGAAGTTGGGATAAATTTGAGAATATTCGTAATTGATAAGGCGCCTTGGTCAATTGCCGTACGTTGTTATCCCTCTTAAATTTAACAGATCATGATGACATAATTATCAAGAAGCTGTCAGTCAATAGAGGCGTATGCTGCTGACAGGTTCTCCTCTTCTGGAAGGCAGGCCAGCTGAGTGCATCATTACTTGTTTATTTAGAGCGGAAGACATTGTTGTATTGCTGAAGGGCTTCCACCGGCCACGTTACATGGGGCCCCTTTCTGGAGAGAAATTATGTGCTGCACTGTAGACTGTGAAGACAGTACGAAATGGAAAATATAACGATGGTTTTCTACATGTATATATTTAATGTAAAATTGATTGAATAAACTTGTTTTGGATTGGATTGGAATTGCGAATCGAAGGGTCTGAGATTCGAATCCCATCGATGACGGGATTTTTTTTATTTAATTTATTTATTTAAAATAATTCTGATGCATTGGATTCCTTACTCCGACCATTCCCTTTTGGGTTCTAATTAACCATGCTGTTCCCAAAGTGGTGCTGGGAAACAGTAACAAGGCCTGGCTGTAGTGGTGCAGGAGTATTAGAGAACTAGCACTCCTGCACTATGGAGTATTAGACTACTAGTGCAATCCATAACCTACATAGAAAACAAGGCTAATGAACTAAGTTGTCGAAGCAAGACACCAATAAAAAAAATTTAAGATCAAGAAATCGGCGATGGTATACTTTTAATAGCCAATACTTCTATCACTGAAACACTTTAAAAGCAATCCAAAACATAATAAACAGTTAGGTGTAAAATCAATATCTTATATCTAACTTCATGTCTGTCTAATTTTGTGACTGATCACAATATGCCCAGGTCCATAGTTGTAAAGTCTGGTATTTTCCTTAGTCTTATCTAGCAGAGTACTTGCATAGGACGTAGAAATGTGTGAATATTCTCTTACCCTTGGTGAATACGAATTTTATAATTTTAGAAGAGTGACATGCGGCATACGACTAAATTGTGAGGGAGAATCCCTAAGTGGCCACTCTCACGAGTTAGTGAATAGGGTCCCAGATGTCGAAACAAATAGTTTTTTAATGTGTTGACAAAACTATCAGACACAGTTCATTATCTAAGACTCAAGATGCCTAACAAAGTTTATCATGGAGGTAACAACTTCTTCACCTCTTGGATATGCGCCTGTATTGCAATACAATCTAACACAAAGAGTTAGATAGTTGACGAAGTTCTAAAAACACAAAGAAATTTAATTTAATATTGTAATTCTCCCTTAATTGAAAATTGTAATATTGCCATCTCTTTCACGTATAAAAATCCATTAATTTTTATTTGGAAATATAGTATTTAGAAAGAAATTCAGCACACCTTATTACAGGTTGACAAATTCAAAAAATAATACTACATAAATGAAATAATACAATAATTTTCATATTTAACCTACAGGATCTTAACGTAATTTTTTGGAATATAATTTTGGCATGCAACATTATATTTTACTATATATAATCATTTTTATTAAACTAATAGTAAAATATTTTAAAACCTAATTTAAAATAGCCAAGACCCAAAATTTTGAAGTTTAAAATTATCTATACAGGCGTTTCCAAATGAAAGCCCATTCTATAACGTACCACTTGTTATAACAACCGTTGTACCGACAGCTTTACCTAGAACTTCTCGAAAAAAATATATTTACATCGTAATTTTACTATTTTCTTTTCGACTTCTATGCAACCGCTCTATTAGAAAATTCGTAGTTTCAAAATAGTAAATATTAACTTGTTACTAAACTTCTTTCAGCAGTAGCATTCTTTACGATACTTATAATAGCTTCATTAGAAATAGAATCAAACGGTATCTTTGAGAAATAAATCTAGGAATTATAGCGTACTTCTAGAGTAAAAAAAGATTTAAGAAGTTAATAACGGTACCAAAAATAGAATGTTGAAGTATTTAATCAGATAATTTTTGTATTCTCACACAAAATAGCGTAAAAATAATCTTTTAAACATTACTGAGTTTGACGATTATACAGAGTGTAGGTACCTACGGATTCATATATAAGAAACTGTTTTCAAAAATATCGAATTTTATAATTAAAAAAACTTATTTATTATAATTTATATGGTAACGTCCTTTAATTTAAATAGTATAGGGTATACGGTGTCTGCCACTGAACATCTTCCAATACGCGATAAAATAAGAGGAAGTAGAAGCTATAGAGTTGGCATTGGCGCGAGAGGAAAAGGAATGGTATCAACGTTGCCATTTATACGAACCGACTGCGTTGAAACGTTGACCAGGCCGTGTAGACTGGCATCTCTGGTATTGTTTCTTTTCTGCTTGCTCTAAGTGCTGTACCCTGTAGAACAGAAGTAAAAGTTGGAAATGCTTTTGCCAGTTCTCCCAGTTTATACACATAAATTGACAGGTTGGCAGCGGATCTCCCCGAAGTGAACGCGATACATTGGC